AATTCAAGTAAATGCTGCTATCCTCTCAAACAAGTCTAGTACCAATTCACCGACCACGAAAGGATGAAAGGCTTGATAAGATTTGAGCGCGGGATCGAACCATCGACCATAGATTGATCACTCAGGCGACGGACCACTTCTAAACACTGTGCCAGACGCACTCAAATGCTTGTATACGTAACTCAGCATCTCCGGTATTCATTACAATCGTTATTATAGTGGAATTTTGAGAACAAACTAGGATCGATGTAAAAGAACTGACTTGTATCGTTTAAATGAGATCTTCTTGAAGGAAATAACAAAAAAAGATAAACATGAAAATCGTCTCTATCCCTTTAGGGACCACCGCTGATTGGCAGGCGACGTCGCACCATCGCTTGCAGCAGGCAGCATCTGCATGTCTGTGCACACATGCATGGCTGTCTGCGCCTGCTTTCCCACGAGACACGACGTTGCCACTGTGCTAGCTGAGTGAGACTCGACGTCGTGCGGCTCGGTACGAAACGTACCATATGGTCCTTAGAGGGCTACAACCACGATTGACAACGGAAGAGGTGCTTTGCTTAACGATGCGTTAGTATTGGAGAAGTAAGTAGAGACAAGATGAGATAGCGGTAAACGAGCGCCTCGATAGAGAAGATCTCCAGCGAATTACGACGACGATTTTGAGGAACAATTTATAATAATAACAAAAATTTAATGCTAAATAGAGTCAGAAAACGAGACTATATTCAAAATTTTACAGCGTTCAAGTGAGAAAGGAAAATGCTCTTCAAGAAATTGCTATTTTCCCGAAATCGTAAGGATTTCCTAGGCATTTCTTGAATATATATGATATATTTCATATATAATTATAAACATTGATTACATATTTATCCATCATTTTCAAATTTATACACGGTTCGAAAGAAAGTTCTGAGGCACTTTGATAAGCATAAGATAACTCCCATGCGCATCATGAGAATATCATAATTTCTTATGGGAGATTTTCCCACTGAAGTCCTAAATATAATTCGTCTTTAGTTTCGCTTTGTTGCAATCCTCCACCATGTCCAATGATGCAATCGAAGTTCGTATTTCATTGCGTCATTATTGGAGAAAGAGTCTCTCACAGCGAGCTGCAGTTGATGAAATCAACGAAACTGAAGGGGAAAGCACAACAAGCAAACCTATCTACCTATGGACGCTGGTTTCAATGCTTTATTGCCGGAGATCTTGACGCTAATACAAGCCTCGTTCAGGACTTCCAACAAAGTTAAACAACAAAGATTTGACCACTGCCTTGGAAGATGAATCGCCGTCAAGTACTCGCGAAATGGCATTCGAAGTCGAAGAAATGGCTGCGTTCAAACAGACCCGAACCTTGGAGGACCGATGGCAGAAACTCGTAGAAAACGATGACCTTCATTTTGAAGAATAGCTATTATTGTTTTTGTTTGGAATGTTTGCTCAGATTTTCAACTTTTCCAAGTGCCCCATAACTTTTTTTCCAACCTCTCAGAATAAAAGAGCCTGTTCAGCCCCGGCCGCGTGATCGAACCACTGACCACCTGTGCGTTGCAACGACCTCTAATCAGCGCCATATGCGCCACCAATAAATAAAAGTGTGTAAAAACTGGCTTCTAATAATTAAATATGTAATACAGAGAAAAAAACGAAGACCTGATAGACAGCCGATGTCAGGGCCATCTCTGCGACTTTAAGATTCGTTTCTAATTTATCGATAATCTCATTTCTCTCCTGTACACAAATTTCAAGTTGACGGCATAAATCTTCTCTGGCACGAAACTCAGCAACTGAAAAATATTTAACTCAGTAAGTACAAGATGAATTCGCGTAAAACAGTAGATTCTTTAACCAAAAAAAGAAACAAAACGACTATAAATCGCACCTCGTCCAAGAAGAGTTTTGACTTCGTTTATACGTCCTTCAAACAAAGTAACCAGACTATTCAGTGTTTCATTCCCGCGACGATGCTTGTCACGATTTAGCAACGACTCCAATATCTAAAAAAAAAGCAGCTATTTCCGCAAAAAAAAAAATTAAATTATGAAAATTATGAAAAAAAATTATGCATTTCAAGATCTTGAGACCCGACTTTCTTTTAAGTTTCGGCATTACCGATTAATAATACTGGGACGTCCAGTGTAAGACTTGATGTAACGTGAAAACAGTGTGTCCAAACGGGCGTCGGTAGTGCAACGGATAAGCAAACGCCCACGGATAGTGTGAAATATGGGCTCAAGTCCCAGCTGACCCAGTTTTTTGCACATCACTCCACATCACCGGATATATCATTACATCATACAACAGCTAAAGGCGGTCAGATGAAAAGAAGGTTGTCTCCCATTATAAGGGGACAAATTTGTTAGAGCGGAACTTTCGTAGGAGTGTTATTAAGTGGACGAAAGCCTACATTTCCAGCTAGAGCCACACATGACCGGTTTTTTGAACAACCTTTTATAGTGCTTTTAAATCCAAAATAAAATTATGCTTCACACGACCACGCGTCTTTCTTTTCTTATCTCACTTATGTTTCGCTGGACAAAACTCCTTCCTTAGAGTGCTCGTTCTCATTCGAAAGGGACAGCTTCGAAGAACTCAAAACTGTGTTTGCTTCATGGAAAAGCTCCTTTGATAGAGCTGTAGAAGAAAGAGAAGACTTGTACTTTAATCCTTGCCGGACAGAGCTCTTTCTTTAGACTATTAGCAACCAATCGATAGCGTAGTTGCCAATAATTCTAACCTTGGCTTATTTTGCGGAAATACCTTCTAGCAGAGAATATCGATCGAGTTTTTACATTTTCGAGGACCTTGTTTACCGGCTAATCGACGGGGCGGGGGATCGATCGCGTTTGAATAACTGCTACTCGATTGAGAATTTCTTCACCGCATCGACAAAAACTTCACATAAAAAACGCATGTTTCTGATACCACGGGAAATTCTCCACACGCTGATATGCTTTTCGTGCTTCCAGCGAATTACACGCGTATGGAAATGAAGGCGCACGGCCGGTATGAAACATGATTTTCTTTCTGGATGCTACATCGCCATAAAAGGGTGTTCTGAAAAAACGGCGACGTGGCTCTTTAGCCTCAAATCTGAGCTTCCGAATGGTTACTAACACTCCTATGAAAAATTCCTCTACTGATTAAAACTGCATGATATTGGTGTCACTGAATTGCGCATTTTCTGGCAAACATTCTGGTTTACAACTTGCCTATACTTGCTTTGAAATTGAGCCGCCATGGGAACAAATCTGCCGGCTACTCATGCACGAATGGCGCATGGGGGAAAATGCTTGCGAAGCGGCGCGCCGGATTTAATGGCACTTCCTGTGAACGGTCCCAGCGCAACTGATCCTCCAGAGCCAGATCCTCTCCACCTTTGAACTTCGCTAACGACCTCCTAGCCGTCCGTTCTGCGAACGTATCATCGCCACAAGCTCCATTAATCTTGCTTGCCGCTTCACTAGTATTTTCGTCTACGCGCCATTCGTGCATGAGTATCCGGCGAATTTGTTCCCTAGACAGTTCGATCTCAGAGCGATTATAGGCAAGTTGTGTACCAAAATGTTCGGCAGAAAATGCGCATTTCAACGACACCGAAATCATGCACTTAGAAAAATTCTGGCTAAAAAATTTGGTGTTTATCGCTCTAATACCAAAACTTATGGGACCCATCTGATATTAGCCAAATTATGAAAAAGTTACAATCCTTTTTAATTGACAACCACTTGCAGTAGTATGATGTTATGATATACCCGATAATGTGGAGTGCTGTGCAAAAACATTTGCGTCAGTCGGGATTCGATCGCAGATCTCACTCCTTCCGGGAGCGTATGCTAACCGTTGCACCACCGACGCTCGTTTTGCAGAGCACTTTTTTTTACGCTATAACGGAACAAGTGAGATCTGGGTTCGAATCCCGGCTGACGCAAATGTTTTTGCACAGCACTCCACATTATCGGGTACAAAAAAGTTAATATGGAAATCAACACAACCCGATACTAGGATCGAAAATAGTTATAAAAGTTCCTTTCAATATTATTTGAGCCAATCTGTCATGTGATCTGGTAAGGGCTCTGTAAGGTAGCAAAGCTCCCGAGAGAACTGACTATGACATGATCGAAAGACGACAGGTTCTGCCCGACTGACGAGTCTGTAGGGACGAAACACGTGTCTCGGGCTGTACAAGAGCCTTTACCAGACCACATGACATGTTGGCTCAAATAATGATCAAAGGATATATTGAAATTTGAGCGTGGTCTTAATAAAGCACTCGAAGGAAAGGTATAATTATGATAAAAGTACCAGCCAAAGAGCAATCGAGTGCGCAACACTCTGTATTAGGTGAAAATTTCACTTGACATATAGTCTAAAACGTTCGTCTTCGATAAGCCTCCGTAAGAAGAGTCATAAAAGTCTTTAACTAACCTGTTTGATTATAAAATCCAGATCATCGACATTTTCAAGCAAACAATCGCGAAGGCTACGACAATCGGCCATTAGAGCTCACCACAGGCCCTGATATTCTTCATTAAACGATACGACGAACGAGAAAAGAGTACTTATTGAAATAAAAAGAAATATACCGAACTAATCGAAACACGAAACCGACTGGGAGGACTCTAACTTGGCAGTAAATGACTATCGAGATCGCGATTCTGAAGCCTTTACCACTTGCGCGTCATTTTGGTTGTCAAGTCTGCAGCGTGATTTTGTTTACGCCTACTTTTCAATACGGTACCTGCTTCATTAGTCTGCAAGATGACGAGGGCTAGATGCGGGGGGGGGGGGTGGGAGGCAGGGGACACCGGGTCGCATCCAGCGAGATCAAAGATCAGATGAGAATTCGATGAGGGCGGGAAAAACTTTTTTGAAATAGACGATTTTTTTTTCTCATTGTAGTCGTCCAAATTCTTTATTTAACTGATTCTTTAGCGGTGATGTGATGCAATAACTACACACCGAGTAATGTTGAGTGACATGCAAAACTCTGAACCTCGATCGGGAATTGAACCCGCATCTCAGCCTTCGCGGGGGGCACGTGCTAACCACTGCACTAGCGCAGCTCCTGCTCTACTATGAGTCTTCCTGCGATGCGGACTTTTGTTTTATTAACCCTTTCGGGATCGTGAACTCACCGCCTCTGCATATCTAACCCCACCGCTGGATGGTTTGCCCCACTTCCTCTGCATCTCTAGACCCCAGCGCGCTGTGTTTAACAATGGCGCGCGGGGGTTAGAGATGAGAGGAGGTGGAGCACATGCCATTGTTAGGCGCAGCATGCCGGGGACCAGAGATGCAAAGGTGATGGAGGAGACCGTCCAGCATTGGAGCATTAGAGATGTAGAGGCGTTGGGTCCATGGTCTCGAAAGTGTTAACCGCACGACCCGTCATCATATTGTAGTGTACGAATATGAGCACTTCTATTTGATTCCTTTTCTCTTATTCTTCCTTCTCAAAGGTTTGCGGAAATTCCACGTGCAATTTCGGATACTACTTAGGGGATTTCGTCGTCCTCAGAAATATCGTAAAATGGCAATAGAGACTATATCTCACATCCCGCGACACCTTTCTGTCGTCTTGAAATGGAATCCCATGAAAGAGATGTATTGTAGGCGGGGGTCCGGCAAGATGATATCCATTCCATCCTTATTTCCTTTTCTGAATTTTCTCAGTATTTATTTCCGGTGGATTTTTTTGATCTGCCATTGAAGCGCATCCAGTCGGTTTTTATCGGCGGAATGATAAGTATTAGTTGATCACATTTACCCTTTTTTTTTACGCGGAAACTCGTTGGGGAAAAACGTTCAATCGAAGTGATAAGATTTTATATCGACCACCTGAGTGATAGCAGATGAATGTGTGGCGAAAAGAACCGCATCGACATCTCTTGACGAAGTTTCCCTTCACTAAAGATGAGCGCTATTTGATTGACATATGTCGGTCTTTCCGTAGGAGTTGATCACTCGTGTGTAAAAATATCGATTCATCCTTGCATTTTATCTTTACTTTACAAGACTTGCAGTATCACAGTGTAATGTGCGGATTCAAGTACTCAGTATTTCAAACGTTCGATTCGTTTTCTCGCACTCGTCCCTCACAAAAGGTCTTCAAACATTTCGCGTGTTGCTTCGTGGAACGTCGAAGAATGCTGGCTCGAGATGATTCTCCTGGTGTTCTTGGATTTAGCCAGGCTAAGACTTTCGTTGATTGACTGTGGGAAAGTGTTGGGGCTGAGACTCGAACCAGCACCTTGATAATCACCTTGCTTCCTGGTTCACTGCGTCACTAACCACTGTGTTACCCCACCGCCAAATTGTATGAATAGCAGTGCTGAAGGGAAAAAGCTGAACTAAACCATCCCCAAAAAATTGATCATTCGGATATTTATGCTAGAAGGAACAGTTTAAGGTCAAACAAATAGATATTCTTAGCAATCACAATTTTCGGCGAAGAGGAAAGCGGAAGGGCGTCCATACCATGAGAAATGGAGGATCTAGCTAATACTATGCTCTATCAATCCACAATGGGTACTAAGAATACCATAGTTTCGGTAGAGGCGATGATTGCGAACCTCTAACCAATTTTAAGCTCAATAAGCTTTTTTGAGTCACTTTTCCATTTCAAGAATTGAGGATTAGAATGGCGATCTCAAGAACATAGTCCGCTAAGTCGAAGCTGATTATTGGTTACCGATTCAATGTTGATTTTAATGCGACAACCAATTACTCCATGATCAGCTAGTTCGTGTTGGGTCAAGTGCACTAATCTGAAACAAAAGGTCAGTACACAAGATCTATCTCAAAGGCGATTGTGGGGTTAACACGCAGACCATTTCTAGCACTCGGTTAGGAATAAGTTTGAAGAAATAGAGAGTTGAGCGATGCTCTTGATAGTTGCTCTGACCATTCAAATTCCTTTCAAAAATCGGGGAAATAAGCTTAGTGAAATTCAAAGCTGAATGATACCTAGCCGATTTATTTTTTGCTACAGTTCAAGCATGTCGAAAATTCAGGAAGAAAAAGACTGACATAAGGAACAACTTACTAACAGCGGCCGGAAAACTTCCTCTTGTCGATATTAGCATAGAAGGACGAAATGATATTAGTCATCGCTCAAGAAGAAATTCACATAGCGATGACATGTATGGTGTAGATACGATAGGCAAGAGGGGATGTTACGCGGCCTATTTGCAATCCTTCACTTCACGGCCAAATCCCGTTGTTAAACAATGACGGATATCGATCTTTATGCATTTCGGCGAACGCATTAATTTGTTACGGGCTCAAACCCGAAAGACAGAACGTGGATTGATGTAGCGGAAAAGGGTTTGTGATAGTGTAGGTGCACTGCTAGAAGGTCAAGGTCCTGATTCGATCGCTCCTTGTCGGCCGCCTCATCCTTACGATCTCGAACACGAGAACACTTCCTAAGTTGTTATCAGGATTAGTCACCGACCGCCCCTGAGAATCGAGTTGTTCAAGGCACGAAAGTATAATAATACTGGTAGTAATAACTAGTAATAATGTCACATACAAAAAACCCACAGAGTCCCTTTTCTAGTTGTCTAGGGAGCAAGGAAACAATGATGTGTACTTTCACGAAAGGTTACTATTTTGTTGAGAGAAAATACATGCAGCCGGCAGCTGCACATGTTGTCCAAAAAACCATCGCAACAAGGCGAACAGTTTTTATTTTAATAATAGTTTGCTGGTTTGTGGCGAAGTATGTTTACTTCTAACGAAAAATGATAGAGAACAGCGAAAGCGGTGCTTGAGACAGTAAGAATGTTAGGTGATGTCACAGCTTAATCTGTAAGATCATGTGCAGTAGGCTGAAAAGAGAGATCGACAACGTTTGTTACTTTCTAAAGAATGATGTCTTCATGGTTTGATTAGCAAGTAGTAACTAGCAATTGATAATTTAGGCGTGATCATTATTTACAAATATATAAGTAGACAGAGGCTCTCAAACTTTTACGAAGACGTTTTTTTTTTGTCGAACATTTTAAAGTGACAGGCACTACCCCAATGCAGCAGTCAAAAATATCATCGCCAAAAGCCTTTGAAGGTTTAGGACAAATTTTAGAAATCTAAAACTAAACAGAAAAAGCGAGTGTCCACTAATACATGTATCTTGGAGCATTATTACGTTGCATTTTTTTATATTCGTGGATTTAGTCGTTACCCTTCTTGAACAATGCATCCTACGAAACGATAAGTAGTGATTTTTTTGGAAAGTGGAGTTCCTTTGTATTACTAATCTGCAATCATATTAGATAATTGCGGAAAAGAACTGAGTTGGCGAGGCGTCACTTATCGAATTAAGCAAGAACAACAGCGACTACAACGATTACGGATATTAAGGTCGCTCCAGCTCAGCAAGGGCAGTCATCAAGACGTACACTATTGATATTAATGAGAGAAATGCAGAAGGTCGGTTTTCAAATATCTAAAAATCTCTCCAAAGGTTGAGTGTCAACACTTTCAAGTTTATAAAACGCTGTTCCACCGAAAACTTGTCTTCGAGATTCTTAGCAACAGAATTATGTATCTTTTGTTTGTAAAAACTGAGAACTCTTCCGAATATCTTTGCTTTTTTGCAGTTCCTTCAGCTTCACATATAATTGATGCAGCACTGAAAAACGCAGCAAATAATTATAGAATTGTTCAAATTGCCTCTAGGTAGCGCTTTTTATTCATACCGTTCCACATCTGTTGATCTCATTCGTCACTATTCAAAAGTACTGCAGATATCCCTCTAAGACCATTTACAAGCCAAGGCCTCAGTGAGAAGTAAATTGCCAATCAAAAGTGATTTTGAAAAGAAGATTTTATCCATGACTCTGTCCTGAAACATCGTCAGTGTCAGTGAGCTATTACATCATGTACAGAAGCATTCAATACAAGTGTGAAGATTGTATACAATGCTACTACAGCAGTAAAATTAGCATAACGACTACGACAGTATGATGGATTACTTCAGTCAACGAAAGCCACATTGTTCAAGCGATATTAACGGTAGGTTTAGACTTCGGTGCTATGGCCAGTTTGTGTTCGAGGGAAGTTGTTGTAGAAGCTGGTATTTATCCATACATGTAGAGTCTCGCTTTTCAAGGGTTTTAGATATTGCTCTCAATTTCATATCGTTTTCTTTATCCACAAAAATAGTTAACATTTTAGCAGATAACAAGGAATGAAGCTGGAGACGTTTCAAGTATGTTCAGATTTTGCTCTGCAAAATATTCAGCTAGCTTTGAACTTTGACAATTTGTTCCATACATGACTACTGAGAAGAGTGATTCTATTAGCTCACCTCAACTACCAATTTACTCCTCAGTGTCGAAAGCGACTAATTTCAATATCATTGAATCAAGAATCAAATCGAGATCCAGTGTAATAATGCCCATCATAGGCTACCTTAGCGTAAATTATGCATTTGGATACCAAGGTTTACTGAAGACCCAAAATTCTATAGATAAGAGAGGTCTATGCGCGTGCGTGCACTTTCTTTCGGAAATTTATCACACCTAATTTTTCCTTACTTTTGAAATCTTTGTTTTTGACTTCACTCAGGAAGTTTTTTCTTAAGAGTTACTGAAAAAAAGCTCAGTAAGCGCGTGTGTTTGTCGTCCTCATTTGGCAAAATCTGAACCATTCTTATGTATGAAATTCTAGCTTAGATGAAGATGAATAGTTTGTTGTTGATGGGTGTCTTGCACGAGTACTATGTATTCAACACGAATCGAAGCAACATAGAAGTGAATGAAAGTATAACATGGCCTATATAATGAGTTGAGGCAGATTATGAGTGGTGTTATTCCGATGCTGCTGTATTCCTTGACGAGTCTGACAGGAACTTCCCGACCGCAGAGGAATAGACTTGCTAAGCCCAAGGAGCGGGATCGCATTTTGGGACCGATTCTGTGCGTGTTTCGGTGTACCGTTAACAAGACTACTCTCGGCCTTATCACTGTTTCATGGATGTAATTGTGTTAGACGTTCCTACGTGAACAGGAACGTTGAGTTTGTGGCTCATAAGCTTATAAGAAATTATTTTGCTATAAG